ATGTTTTAATCTAAGGCCAAATGTTATCTAAGACAATGGGGCAACAAATTTCACATTTACTTAACTTCTTTGGTTTCGTTGATGCATTTTTTTTTTTGGTCATCAATTTATTGGTCAGCTTGTTTCTGTAGATATTTATGCCAAGAAACAACACAATATAGGGATAAATTATTGCAAAGCTATTATAATTATGCCATTTTGAGTATTAAGCTAATTCTTTAAAGGTTTTAAGTTTTTTTAAGCAACCCACTTCCAAATATTTTGTAAATGACTGTTAGATTTGTTGATTTTACTGGATTTTAATTGCATCACACAAGATGTGTGTTAACACAACTGCAAGAAATGTGCTCGGAATAAACACAATGTCCTTACTCAACTTCAAAATGGCTATTTTAGTTCAAAGTCTTAACAGTTTCATGATGACCCAAATCATTTCCAGTTGATATTGTTTAAATCAAAAGACCTAACCTTTTTACCTGACTTCCATCTCTAATCAACAGATTCCAGTTTCCTCCTCTGCAGATGACACGAGTTGTGGCATGATGAAAACCTCTCCCTCTGCGTCTCTGCGGGTCAAACGCAAAAATGTTCGCCAGATCAGAAAACATCTATGCCTAAATAGAGTCAGCGGTCAAGACACTGAGGGTTCACTGTTGAAGGTCCAGTCCAGTCTGTGCGACTTAAGCTACACTAAAATGCCTACGGCGACTGTCATCCAGCGCCAGGAAATGACATCGTACTTGCATCTGTTTGGTAAATAGTCTATAATTGTGCATTTTTGATCAAATGAAGTCTTGGTTGTAAGCTGACTGTGAAAGGACTTGCATGATGGTGAAGTAAACCTTTAAAATCTAAAATATGTCTATTATACAGAAAGCTAAGAGTTGAAATGGAAATGGGATTTTCTGTTTTAAACCTTTCTGTTTTGCTGTGTAAAGAGTAGTCCATATGTTATTGGTCATGGAGTACAAAATACACTTCAATGGTTGTGGTTTTAGATGATGGCCTGATTCAAGACTTTCTGAGGGTGGACTGTTGCTACAAAATGACAGACAAGGTAAAACTCATTTATTGAAAGAGACCCTAATGAAGCTTACACTTTATTTATACCACGTTTTCTTTTATTTCATCAGTACCTTTTAGCTATGACCTTTGTATACTTCAAACGGGCTCACTTCACTATTGCTGAATACACCAGAAAGAATTTCTTCATTGCACTGTAAGTTTATGTACTTTTTAATTCCTGCATTTAGATATTTGTTTTAAAAAAAAGAATGTAAAGTTTTATTTTCTTTTGGGCTTTCCACTTCTGTATTTAGTTACCTTGCCAACACTATGGAGGAAGATGAGGAGGAGAGTAAATATGAAATCTTTCCGTGGGCTCTGGGCAAGAAGTGGAGGAGGCTGTTTCCTCGCTTCCTCAAGCAGCGAGACGAGCTGTGGGCTCGCATCCAGTACAGAGCTGCTGTCAGCAGGCGCTGCTGTGAGGAGGTGCATGCAGCAGCCTAAATATGAAGCTGATCAATGATCAATTTGATGCTTTATTTTTATGCCAGATATTTTTGAGCTGTTGGAAGTTGTTTCTTCAATCGGGTTTTCCTGTTTGTCTCCCAGGTAATGGCCATCGTGTCTTTTCACTTTGTGTGGCAGCGACAGAGATCTGCTCACCACAGTGGGGCTCAGCGGCAGTACGGTGATCAGGACCACACTCGTTTTCCCCGTGGGCCCTTTGCCTCCCCTGTTTCCTGTCCCCTGTGTAACTATGACAGTAGACTGCGCCACACCTCCTCCTCCAGCTGCTCTCCTCAGGCTGTGGACGGCACCTATCCACACCCGTTCACCTCTGCCCTTGGTTTGGAGCTCACCCCAGTCAGGATCACCGCCTCTCACGGGAAAGCCAAGGCGGATAAAAGCAAGCAGCAAAAATCCTACTGCTCCTGTCCTGAAGAGGTTCCCAGTAGGTATCACTAAACTGGTTGAACCCTTTAGTGGATGTTTAGTATGAAATGGAACTATCATTAAACATTAAGTGGTTAGTTTGTAGTTTTAAAGCTGAAATGTAGAGTGCTGTACAAAAATATTGATTCCCCTCGTTTTTTTAAATTGTATTCAGAATTTTCTGTAATCTTTCCCTTTTTGATTGGGTGTTCCCAAGCTTAATAAGATCTTTCAAAGTTTTTCCTTGGACTTGAGCTGCCTTTTTACTTGTTAGCTCAAAAACATGGCAAATATTGGCAATCTGTGCAGCGCGTCCCTAAAAGTGTTGGGAAATCTGGACCAAACGGATGAACAGTGTCTGAATCCTTAACAGAGGACAAACAGCAAAGACCTGAAACAACCTGAGAGCTTCAACACTCTTCATACTAATCATCTACTGTTTGCCAAGTTTTTAGCTATAATTCTGCAGAAATCACATTATTGGTGAAGAACATTTAATTCCTGTTAAACCTTGTTTGTAGTTGCATCTATCAAGTTATGTGAAATTTGAACCACTAACAAAATACTCTGGAGTTTAAGTACCATTTATTTTTCAACTGAATTAATTCATAGTTAAGTGACTTGTTTACATAAAAAGGCATTCCTCTTAAAATTGTCAGATAAAAAAAGTGGCAGAAATTGTGTATAAAGCAGTTATTTAAAAGTGTCATTTCAAATGGCATTAAATGCTGAAAGAATCTTAATCAAGCGCATTCCCAAAGACTACAAGTAAAGCCATGCTCGCTGGAAGCAAAATCTAAATAGGATTGTATTGGAGATTTTTTTTTCTAAATGTTGCATTTCTCATATCTATGTATAATTAAAAATAAATGCTAATAAAACAGGCTAAACTGAAACACAACCAGAATGAGGTGGTGCTTCTTTGTACTAAACAAATGTCTCTTCTCGACAGGGGAGTCTTCTTCCTGCGAATCCTCACTGGACGCTTTCTTTGACTGGATCAACGAGATGTAAAGAACAAAACCAGCTCAGTTGTTTCTCCACGTTCCTCTTTACACCAGCAGAGCAGTTCTGTGCATTATTACATTCAATGAAATGGAATATTTATTTAAAGTGTAGGCCTGAAGCCTGCGGTTTGTGAAAAACGCAGGTTTTCATGTAAACTAGTGCAATCGTATTATCTTAAAACATAGCGACCATTAACTGCTGTCATTCAAAACAAAAAAAGTGACCAGTTCTGTAAAGAAACTTTCATCTATGTTTATAAGTATTTATTGATATATTTATTTAATTTATGTGTTTGATATTTTTCACAGGTTTTGAATCTTTGAGCACATGTCCTCAACTGTCTGTTACATAAAGGGTGCTGGGTGTGTTGGTCAGGTTTGTTGCCAACGCGCCTGTTTGATGGTTCATAACTACGACGTTTAAAATACTAGCTGAAAGATGAACTTGTCTGTTATTCTTGACTCCAATCTGCTGTGATAAGCTGTTAAACACATATTTTTACACAAGCTTTATTCTTCAATATTGTTCTTAGCTTATTCAGCCGAAAATTTTCAACTAAACATTTACAAATTTTAAATATAGCAATGAAAAGTCCAAGAAAATGCACCGTTTGATTTCAGTTTATTTCTCAAACGATCAGTTCTGTCCAGGGTGGATTGTCGTTAACTCGCAAATTTTCTCAGTTTCACCAGGAATGCTGGAAAAAGAAAACAAGAAAAATCAGATATTACAGCTAAAGTCGATCAAAAACGAGGCTAACTACCAGTATGTACCAAGATCTGACCTGTGTGACTTGTCTGAATATGGTGAGGTCTGGCGATGTAGGGAATACTCCCAAAGCTTGGTCCATTATTGTCTGAAATAAGAGCCGACATTTAAGTTAGAAAGATTCAAACATTGTCACCAAATCAATCGGCCATTTTGTTTGAAATCACCTTGTTTTGCCTCATCGGATGCCTCGCTTTTCTGCGTCAGATCTTCACCCAGGTTTGGGGCTTTGACGGTGCAGTACTGTCCATCTTTCTTCAGGGCGGGGATTATCACCCATTCACGGACCGGAACCTCGATGATGCGTTCGCAGAGAAATTGTAGTGCGTAACATCGAATACCCTCCATCAGCTCAATTACCTGCGTTATACTGATAGAGACAGAGAACAGGTCTTCAGGAAAACAAGCTGATCAGGACATGTTTTTGTTTGTTTGTTTGTTTTCAGTTGTAAAATGATCTCAGCAGAAAATCAGAATACACGTGAAAAGATCCAGCTCTGAAATGTGTCTAATGAGCACAGGTAAAAACAAAAAGAGAAGATACGAGTTCAAGGGCCAAATGTGAAAAACAAATAGAACTACAAACTATTTGATCCAACCACTTACAGTAATTTAACTGTGCATTATAACCTGTAAATGATGATTAGTTTATTTTTGAAGAACTGGAAAGTTTTCTAAAATTTCCAGAAATAAGAACAATTAAAAACAAATAGAGGACAAAATGATGCCACTTAAGTCCACCTTACATCCTGTTTTCTATAACAAATGAAAACATTGAACAAATAACGAGCTTTTGTTGTGTTCAGAAATTAACTTCACATCAGTTTTACTTTCTAAATCACAAATGTCAAACTCAAGGCCCGGGGGCCTAATGTGGCCCTTGATGACATCTGGCCCCCAAGATGATATGTTAAATGTAAAATACTTTTTTCACTTGAATTTTTCAGTAATCTTTGATTATGATGTCAAAAGTGTAACAGAGAACATCAAAATGAGACCAATCAAACTTTTTTTTTTTTTAGAAACCTGCAACCAAGTAAAGATGTTTGGTATCTAACTTGAGTTCATGTAGATTCTGAAACTGACCCTTACTTTGAAAAAGTTTAAAATATTGGCCCCCTTTGGTAAGCGAGTTTGACACCCCTGTTCTAAAGAAAGTACAAATGGTTTTAGATGTGGCAGTGGGAGAGAAAATACACACTTGGCGAGGTAGACGGCACAAACTCCTCCTACATGCAGATGTGGGAACACTATGGGTAACGCCAGATGAGGGTTGATCATGTCAAGAGCAACCTACAACAGAAATCCATCCGTTAAAAACAAAACTATGTTCATGTGATGCTCATAAAATTTTTCTTCTCCACAGATGTAAAACCACTGACGGAGTGAAAGCCCCGACCGGCGAGGAGCGAGGAGGCATCGCAGAGGTCGGTGTTGTGAAACTGCACGTTGTTGGGCCACTCCTGCCCTTGTCGCAGACCCCACGATTTCCTCCACTTCCTGTAGTTCTTCACAGCTCTTGTGTAGTGATCCTCTCTGACCTCCACACTCAGCACGCTGCCTTTCGCTCCCACTGGGAGAAACAAACATGTTTAATTCAGTCAGTTTTACAGATATTGTGTTACTGGTGTGGTTGTACATGAGACATTCCCAGCACATACTTTAGGTGCTAAACATTGTGTAAGATCTTGGCTGAATGTTTTAGTTTTAACAGTTGGAAGCCACCCTGTTTGATGTGCAACCAAGCATAGTCCAGCCTTTTATCATCTATATTATGAGGGAAGATAATAAATGAAAGTGCAATTTAAATCCCACCTTCATCACTGCATTGCATGCTAAAGTTTTAAACAGACTTTGCTAAATCTGTTCGTGCTTGGAGTATGAGTTGGTCAATGCTATGCAAAAAAAACAACAACTTAAAGCTCAGTAAATTGAGTTATAGCCATTTTGCATCTAAATTGAGCTTTCAGTCTTGTCATGAAAACAGACAAAGTGAGACAGTAGGACGAGAGCAGACCTGCTCTGGACAGAAACAGAGACATGGCCCCCGACCCAGAGCCTGACTCCAACACACGATCCCCCTCCGTCACATCCATCATCATCAGCATGGTGGCCACATCCTGACAACAGAAGTCATCCATCAAGATTTACTCTGAAACTGCTCTCAGTTTGATGTCTTCAGACACTTTACCTTGGGGTACGAGATTGCAGGTCCTCTCTTCATGTAAAGCACGTAATCCTCCAGACTGGCCCGGCGGAAGAAGATGGGAACACCCCTGTGTGTCTTTAGGAAACAGCCTGCAGGCTGCCCGACTACATCATTGTGCAGGATGACCCCCCAGCTGCTCTGCAGACGAGCATTGCTCTGAAGCTGGAACAACATCCTGAACTCCAGCAGTTTTTTCTTTCGGTACTCGGCAACAAGCAGCTCCCCAAAACTGAGCAAGGTCTCCCCTGTAAGAGAGGGTGACACCTGCTGCTCTTCCAAAAGTGATGGTGTTGTCTCTACTGCACGCTGGGGCTCCAGATGTTCCTCTTTAGGGACTCTGTTTGATCCATTTTCCTGCTGTATGCAGTCTGAGTCCAACATCTGGATGTTTGCTTCTCTATCTGGTTCCTGCAGCCTCTCCTCTCTCAGCTGCATCACCTCTGGACTCTGAAAATCCTTAGGGAGGAGGCTGCTGATCCTCTCCATAGGGGACAAGTGTCGCCTTCTCCTGGAAAGCAGATCCTGTCTGGATGCCAGCTTGGTGCTCAGGCGTGAAGAATCTGCACAGTCCTCCTCATTCTCATTAGATCTCACAGAAGATGTGCAAAAGGTTCTTGCAATACAACTTCTTTCAGTCAGATGAATTAAAACATGCCTGTTTCTGTTGTGAATTTGTTTAGATGCGCACAATGTCACCAGTCTGTCAATAAACAAAAATCTAAAGGGCACATGCACAACCATGGCTTAAACTTACAATCAACTTTGTCAGAAAATATGTCCTAGTCACAAAATCCCATCTGTAGGTAGAAACTGGCAGCTACAAATGTAAACACAAAACAGTTTAAGTGAACTGGTAAAAATACAGTTAAAAATATAAATATAATTAAATCCAACTTACACTTTAATAACTAAATGGTTCATTCCTCTTTGCGATATTACTAAACGAAGGTCACTGTACGAAAATCCTGAGCAAGCACGTGTGGAAATACGTCATAAACAAGCGACGTGTGTAGTAAGTTGCCTCTGCCAGAAGAGGGCGACATCACACCGCAAAAGGTTCTTTATTTTTAGGATTGTTGCATGAAACAACAAATAAAACATGTCTAGAATTGTTAATGTGTCACAAGTCGTGGAATTTTTTACATCGAAAGATACGCAGGCAACGAGAAACGTTGTAATCAGGATATTTCAGAGGTAAAAACGTGCCCTTTTTATATATTGTAATGCTTGTTTTTTTCCCCTTCAAAAAAATAAAATAAAATTAAAGAGACATGAGGGAATTTGTATCATTAGCCTTACATCGCAGACTTTTGCCTGAAGCGCTAGTGCGCATGTCTTCAGAGGGCAGCACGTGTAACCAGGACGCACGCAGCAGACGCAAGCAGCGCTACAGAAATGGCGGCGGACGATGGCATTTCTTCGCTGCAGCTCCCCTGCGTTTTTTCACCCAAATCACGACAGTACTTAGCCGTGTGTGCCCAGGATGGCAGACTTCGCATCTGGAACACGGACAGTAAAACACTTCATCAAGAATATGTGCCTTCAGCTCATCTGAGTGCCACTTGTACGTGTTTATCCTGGGGACCATGCCGAACTGCGAAGGTACGTGTTAGCATGCAGCTAATGAGGCCCGAGCAAACTGCGTGTTTTTGTCCAGGTGCACACTTTGACAAAAATATACACATCGTCTGTTCACAAAGAAAAGTGACCCTAAAGTTATAGGACTATGCTTTATGCTTTTAGTCACCCTTTATGTAACCAAGATGGAGCGGTTTGTTCGCATTAGCAAGACGCACATGTCAGACCCACATGGCTGATGGAAAACACGGACAGTGTCAGCGTTTGGAGTTTGGACTAGTCAGAGTACCTCAAACAAGGAGTCATGTGGAATTAAACATCACAGTTCGTTGTTTTAAGCCGTTATTGTGTGTAAAAGTATTAAAGTTAGCGTCCGGTGGTAGTGAATGTGGGACTGACTGCCTTTCAGATGAAGTTTTTGTCTTTGACACTTGGTCAATTTATTATAAATAAAGTGTCGCCTGAAGGTAGATTACTGGCCTAACAAAACTACGATTTCAGTTCATTCAGGGCATCAGACAAGTGTTTATAAAGGTTGTGTTGTTGATCTAGCAAACAAAGCAACAGTACATCTGTGTCAAAAGCTTCTAAAACTAAATTTAATTAAAATATGTATAATACAAGAATCGATTGATAATTTAAAGCTAATAAAACCTAATGGTTTTGTGGTGAATCACTGACAAAGAAGTGGGAAATAATCCTAAATTAAGGCAATCAAAGATTAAGGTTTGTCATTTTTAAATTAAGTAAAAATATCCATGCCAAAAGCAGTTTTTGTACTTTATAAATATTTACAAGATGATAATTGGCAATTTAATATATTGTTTTATTGATTTAAGAGTCATTTGCAAAGTTGTGCACATTGTTCATGTCCAGTTTGCTTTTATTCTGTGACACTCCAGGGCTAGAGTTAGAAACAAATCTTTAAAATTGCAGGAACCTGAAGCAGCTGTTGGTGTCTGCAGCCTCAACATTACATCTGCTTTTTGCAGGAGGGACCTCAGAGGAAGAAGAGGAAATCAGAGGCAGCACAGGTGGAGAAGGTTGACCTGTTGGCAATGGGCACAGCAGCTGGTACTGTCCTCATCTACAGTACAGTGAAAGGAGCTCTCCACTGTACCCTGGTAAGTTTTGGACTCGGTGCTGCTATGGAAGGAAACAATATTCCAATTTCTAAACATATTGCTCTACTAATATTTAATATTAATGTCTTAACAGGATGGAGGCCATAGTGGAGGAGTGAACTGTGTCCATTGGCATCCTGAAGACAGCTTATTATACAGCGGTTCAGATGATACGAACATTGTAGAGTGGGACCTGCAGACAGGCAAGACTCGGAGGTTAGTAACAATTTATATTTCAAATTTGAGGCTTGTCCATCTAGAGAAAATTCAACAAGACTCTCAGATTAAAAAAAAAAAACTTGTACTTAGGGATGCACGATATTGGATTTTTGGCCGATATGTTAAAACTTATTTCGTCGATAACTGATACCAATACCAATATTTTTTCCCCTAGACCTACTTACAGAGACTACACACACTACATTGCCAAAAGTATTCACTCACCTGCCTTGACTCGCATATGAGCTTAAGTGACATCCCATTCCTAATCCATAGGGTTCATTATGACGTTGGTCCACCCTTTGCAGCTAGAACAGCTTCAACTCTTCTGGGGAGGCTGTCCACAAAGTTTAGGAGTGTGTTCATGGGGATTTTTGACCGTTCTTCCAGAAGCGCATTTGTGAGATCACATAGTGATGTTGGACGAGAAGGCCTGGCTCTGTCTGCTCTAATTCATCCCAAAGGTGTTCTGTCGGGTTGAGGTCAGGACTCTGTGCAGGCCAGTCAAGTTCATCCACACCAGACTCTGCTGTTTTGCTTCTCTTGTTTTCCTATTCTGAGAGAACTTCACTTAGACAACCAGGGAGTTGTGCTTACATGCACAGCAACGTTTCAATATTCACGTAATTAAAATATTAATCCGACAGACTTTGCTGTGGGAATGTTTTCTGATTACATTAACTTCTAAAAGATTTATAGACTAAAGGTTCATTCAGAGTATGTTAATTCATTTTAGATATGTGTAGTATTATACTTCATCTTGATTATCATGTCTCAGCTTTACAGTGCAGGTCATACAGGTTGGTACAGAAAGGGTTTCTATGGTTTTAAACTCCATTAAAGCTCTTTGCTTTTAGTGATGTTGACATAATGAATACTGAGATCAATGAAACTAGAAGAATGTCATTTGTTTTGTTTGTGTGAGCGATCAGATTGTGGATGGAGAATGATGCGTTTAATTGTTAAAATGCACCAGCTTGTTTTATTACTTAAACATATTTCATCAGGTGTTTAGATTCCTGGTAGATTTATTAAATGCATCTACTTGTCTGGTGGCTGAGAAGTGGCTCAAACACTGAATCCTCACATGAGCTCATTTGTGTTCTGCAGGATGCAGAAAATGAGATAATTTGATGCCGTTTGTTACAAAGCAATAATAATAAAGAAATGTATTTATATATTATTGATGGTACAGAGTACCAACATCATTTACAGCAAACACAGTTTTAAGACCACCTTCCAGGCAAAAGCAACATTGAAGTAGCAAAAAAGTCAAAGCTGTTACTTCAATGTTTGAGCAACACAAGTGCTTTGTAATTGCACTGTCAGCAGATATTCTGGACAATAATGTCACCAACACTCTGAAGTTAAATAAAACCCATTTGTGCTCCTCAAAATGTTTAGATTGACAAAACTATTGTTGAGTGTATCAGTAAAGTTTCAGGCTGAGTTTAGTTCATTATACTTTGATAGATTACGCTGCAAGAGCTTCTTTAATGGCGACGAGACAAAAGTAATCCTGTGAAAAAGCTTTTTGATGCTCTTATTTCATCACACGTGCTTCAAATGTGACCACCGTGATTTTATTGTCTGCACAGTAAATGGAAAGCGGATCGTTCAGCTGTGACCAGTCTGTGTGTGAGTCCTGATGGTAAACTGCTGCTTTCAGCTGGAAAGATAATCAAGATGTGGGACTTGGACACCAAAGAGGTTTACAGGGTGAGTGTTGCTGAGTCCGCTGATTTCTCTTATTCAAACTTCTTGATTTCTAATAAACTCCGCTGTGTAATGCAGTATGAAACATTCAATTCATTTTATTTATATAGCACCAAGTCCCAACCGAAATTGTCTTGGCGCAGTACAAAAACATTCACGTACTTTATAAAAAACAACTAGTAAAAGTTGTCTATCTAAAGAAGCCAGCAGGTTGCGTTGAACCTTGGGTCGCAGTCTCCCATCCTGAGCAAGCACAAAGGCAACAGTGGAAAGGAAAAACTCCTTTTTAACAGGAAGAAACCTCCAGCAGAACCAGGCTCAGGACCAGCAGCCATCTGCTTTGACCAGCTGGGGTTTGAGGGGACAGGAAGGAGAAACAAACAAACATACAATGGCACGTCCAAATGTACTTTCTGTAGGAGGAAAGACAAAAAACATGTTAAGGATAGAAATACTTACAAATACACACGGGTAGAGTAGAGCAGGTAAAGATGGCAGCAAAGTGAGGAAATGTGGTGAATTTCAACTACAGCAGTCTAAGCCTGTAGCAGCATAACTTAAGGGATAGCTCAGGAAACCCAAGCTGACAGTAACTATAGGATTTATCAAAAAGGAACAATTTAAGCCTAATCTTAAAAGTAGACAATGTGTCGGCCTCAAGCTGGAAGTTGGTTGCTCGGGGCCCCCCCCCAAAAAAAACTCAATCTTGTCTGTGTTCAAAAGGAGAAAATTAAGGGTCATCCAGGTTTTTATTTCTTTAAGAAATGCTTGTAGTCGTAAGTAGCTGATTGGATTAATCAAGTTTCACGGGCAAATATAACTGAGTGTCATCAGTATAACAATGAAAATGTATCCCTGGTTGTTTAATAACTTTACCTAATGGAAATGTATGTAAAGTAAAGAGTATTGGCCCAAGCACTGAACCCAGAGGAACTCCATGATTCATTATTTACATTTTTTTCTGGACGATCACCGATTTCTAAAAAGTCTGACCTGCTGATTCCGATTTTGGCCGATACGGATATTGTTTTATAAGCGACACTGTCGGGCGTTATAAGGTCACAATGCAGCTTCAATTTTTCAACATTATTTTGTTGAAAAACATACACTTGAACAATATCCTAGAAACAATACAAACTGGTTTTAACTGGCCATGAGGTAGTGCTCTGTAATATAAATGAAGTTTAGACAATTGTTGTTAGAACTACAAAACAAATTGGTTTCTCATTTAAGTATTGGCCGATTTCCCAAAATTAAGGAAATCAGGGCCGATAAATCAACCGGCTGATTTATCGGTGCACCCTTATTACATTTACAAATTACAATATCAGATGAATGATATCTGTTCATGTAATCCCAATATCATATTCAAGTCTCTGTAGTAGAATATTGTGATCGACTGTATCAAATGCAGCAGTGAGGTCTAACAGAACAAATGTAGTTTAGATGTTTTTTTACTCAGAACTGACTGCGGAGTTATTTTCTCTTTGCAGAAATTCACAGGCCATTCAACGGCTGTGACAACCCTCTGCTTCGCCACCACACGACCTCCTGACGGCAACGGCCTCTATTTCGTCTCTGGAGCTGCACACGACCGACTCCTCAGCGTTTGGTGAGCGGTTGCAACCAGACGTGATGTCAAGCGTTTTATTAATACTCTGTGATGAAAACCCAGGCTTGCAGAAAATTTCAGAGGAATACATGATGACCTTTAAGCTAATTTTGGATATTGTAAAAACTACATTGTAGCTCTTGGTTCTGGCTGCGTGTTCCTGTTAGTAAAACATTGTTCTACCTGTAGGCAAGTACGAGAAGATGGAAAAGACAAAAACTCAGTGGTTTCCTTCACGCTGACCGACGAGCCACAAAACTTCGACCTTGTCAAATCCAGCAGCAAAGAAGAGGTACGAGCTTGTTTTCTTCTGGTGTTACTTTGTCTGGCTTTTGTGGAGTAAATAAACAATCTGGTTCAAATATGTTTAAAATTGAGGTAAATACCTGAATTAACTTCAAGTTGGGACTTGGTGTATGTTTTACACGTGGAGGTGTTTGTTTCTCCACAGGCAGTCAGGCTGGCAGTGGTGTGTAAAGATGGACAGTTACATCTATTCGAGCACTTTTTAAATGGGTAAGCTTCAAAAACGTAAACTACTCCATGCAACTATTTTTTTTTTTTTTAACTTTTGTGTGTGTGAGTTGGGAGCTTGCTCAATAATCGACATTTAAAAAAAAATTGTTTATAATTGAATATTGTACGACTTGAATTGCATTGAATAATATTTTCTTAGAATAATTTTGTTTTTTTGCCCGTCAGTCATGGTCTTTATCTTGATTTTCCTTCCTCTTTTATAATAAAATTCTTAAAAAAAAAAAAAGTAACACGTTTACTTGTTATTTGTTTGAAAATGGCTTTCACTCAGAACAAACCTTAATGATGATGGGACGTCTTTGGTTAATGCTTTAATTTGATGCTAACTGGTCACGATTAAAGCATTAACATCTGTTAAAACCTACTGACCCTGTATCTGTTGGGAATATTAGACAATATATGGGAATGATCTAATAATATACATGCAATAAATCACTTTTGGAATCACAGCAAATCTAAATTGTTGTAAAATGTCACTAATGAGAGAAACTTGTGTTCATGCAGGCCGTTTAAGAAGCCTTTGTCACCTTCGTGTACGGTGCAGATGTCCGACACAAGGGAATCCCCGATGCAGATCCCACTGCTGGCAGCAGCACTCGAAGTCGATCCGCGCTCTGTGGTGCTGGCATATGGCAGCCATCTACAGCCGGTGATGGAGAGAGTGGTGAGTGGATGGAAATGCATGCAGTTTTCTTTTCCCGCCCCTTTGTAACACACAACATGGACAATAAATAATAATAATAATGTCATCACAATGTCAGCACTGTATGTTTCCATACAATGGCGAAATTAGTCTCTGCATTTAACCCATCCACCACCAGGTGGTGCAGTGGGCAGCTATTGAAAGCGCCCGGGGGGCATTTTGGGGGTGAGGCGTGCTGCCCAGAGACGCCACGTGATGTGCAGTGACTGGGGATCGAACCTGGGACTTTCGGGTCCCAAGCCGGCTGCCCTGCCTCTACACCATCTCGGCCCCCAAATGTAACGTAGATTAGATTTAAAAGTGATACAAATCATTTTTAAAAAGCAAGAAATATAAAATTGACGCAAAAGAATACAAGAAAAACAAATGCAATAAAAATAAAGTGTCATATAAATGTTCAGCTTGGTTTAAAAAGCAGCGAGTGTGGCTGCATCATGCTGAAGTAGTTGCTTTCAGAGATTGGGAGTCTGAAAACTAAAAGCTAGTCATTCTAGTATCAATTTGCTAGGGTTCATAAAGATTGGACTCTGGAACAGGGTAAATCTGGACTCATCAGACCACATGACCTTCTTCCATTGCTCCAGAGTGATGGGGTGCCTTGTCATCAATGCAAGATCTTGGTGAAAAATTAATGCAACACTGGATGGAAATAGATCTTGTGACATTGCAGAAGCTTATCGAAACGATGCCACAGAGAACGCGTGCTGTAATCGAAGCTAAAGGCGGTCCAACGAAATATCAGTGTGTGACCTTTTTTTTTTTCTGGCCAGTCAGTGTATATTGCATATCCAGCTAAATATGATAGACATAAAAATAAACACCTTTGTTCTGTAGCAAATGTTAAGTAACACAGACCTGTTTTAAAAATGCATTTTTTGTGAGTTTCAAGCGTTTTTTTTTTTTTTTTTTTTTTTTTTTTTGGAAACGGCCCTTTCCATATATGGGCTATGACATCATGACAGTGTCCAGATGAGGTGAAACAGCCATGTTTATATTGTTCACCAATCATTTCTGGCAAAAATAGTCCAGGCAGGAAGAAAATGCTGAATCGGTGTGTTGTACAGTTCTGTGGAAATACAGTGGAGGAGCTGCCTCTTGCCTTCATGGTGGCTCGTACGTGTACAGAGAAGACCCTCCTCGCTGAGCAATAATTTCACATCGAACAGTTGTACTTCGTTCGTCATCGCTTGCAGATAAGTCATTAAAGATATCCTCTGAATCGCTTGAACTTTCTCCACTGAAATCGTCCTCACTGGCGTACTCCTCCACCAGGAAGACACTCCCCAGCCTGTGGCTCGTCCTGTTCTCGACATCGTCAGCCTTCGACAGCCATTGGGCAGTCATGTTCTCAGGTGTTTTCTATAAAGGGAAAATGACACTCTTCCTTCACTTGCCTGGCCCAAATATAAAAAACATGACCATTATATTCTACTACAGTGATTACCAGTTAAGGGCACTTTGGATTATAATGGTGTGTGTTGGACTTTAAATATGCTGAATCTCGGTCATTCATTGCTTTTTATGTAACAAGGAGTTAGTGTTTTATTTTGGAAGTGACTGGAGGCCAATGCAGGGACACTAAAACGGGAGAAATCTGGTCTTTTAACAGTACCTGTCAATAATTGTTCTGCTGCGTTCTGAATAAGCTATTTGTATTTTAAGGAGTATTTTGGACCCTGTGCTAGAATGGTATTTAAATAGTCTGATCTGCATGTGATGAGGGTGGAGCAGTTTTTTTCAGCATCTTGAGTTAGTCCTAAGCTGGATATATGTCTTTCAAAAGATTAGTCTTTTTTCGTACACAAACCTCTGCAACTTCACACTAGCACAAGGTGTTTGAGATTAAACATAAGTTCAGCGTTTTCTTCAATTATTAAAAAAAAAAAAAAAAAAACATCTAAAAGGTCATATATGTATTTTCCCATTCATTTGCACTTTATTAAAGGTTTCTTTATTTCCCCTTGAAATGGTGCTAATGCTTCAGCCAGAGCCATGTTTTTATTAGAAAAACATAATCAGAAGCAACAGTTGAATTTATTACAGTAAATAATGACCATGAAATCTGTTGGATGATTAAAACAGATTTCTGAACAGCTTTGTACTCTTGGAAGATTTCTGCTGCCGTTTTTAATTCAGTGAGCATCAAAGCTCATCAGAAGGTTTTCACCCTCCACATGTAAAATCTTTTGAGATATTTAACTTTAAGGTGTTTTTATTTATTTTTTTATTCCAGCTTTAGCAGTAAATTTTAAACTATTTTGGAAAAATAAAAAATCACAGATTGCATATGTTTTCCAGTGATTTAAAGTGAATATTTTCTTAAAACTGAACGGAAATGATTAAGATCCTGTTAGCTGAGTGGTTGCAGAAACATTTAGGTTTTCTATTTTAAATTGATTCTTGTCTGTTTAATCCGTTTACCTTCTTTCTTCCATTTTCACAGGAAATCAACACGGCAGAGAGACACATTTGCTTGACCCGAGACATAAAGGCCAACTTGTCCATCTCGATGGAGACCACCGTCTCCAAGGTAACAAGGCCTCATTTCCCTTCCTACTAATCAAAAAGACTGGCGCTCATTGCGAGCTGTTTGCTAACCCGAGTGCAGAACCTGATCAAGAGTGAACTTCTCTCATGTCTGCTGCTTCCAGGTGAAAACTCCAATCGTCAATGCCAAAAGCAAAGTGTTGGTTCCAGGACTTCCTGGGCATCAAGCTCCTCTCAAGGTGGGCTCACAAGGAACGGAAAAGAGGAAAAAAGACGCAGACACCAAAGAGGTAGATCTTAGTTGTAGAAAGACTTTATTTTTGTGGGTGTTTTTTGATTTTTGTGCAGTAAATTATAAATATCTGACAGGAGAGTCATTTGTGAATACGATTAATCCTGTTGAACTGTCAATCATATTAACAAAATGATGTTTTAAGTACAACTCGAGGCAAAAAAAGAAGTTGCATTTAAGTAACTTAAGTGGCTTATAAAGTCATTAAACTCTTTATGTATTTATTTTCTCCCTCTGCAGATGTCAATAGCCGAGCGACTTCGTGAAATAGATCTGTCTGTTGTCTCCAGTCAGAAAGGAGCTGCTAAAGTCGAGGCCTCGTTACAAACAGACAACTTTGCAGTTCTACTGGTGCAGGGCCTGGAGAGTAACGACGCTGCCACTCTAAATGTAAGGGGGGGGTTCTCCCTGGAGTTTGGTCTTTGTAGCTCAAAAATCTGCTTATGCACGGACCTGTGTAATGTCAGTAAAAGTCCAAGTTGATTTGGGAGTTAAGATAGTTTCAGTGCAGGTTTTAAGAGTTGGAGAAGTTAAACTGGTGCCTTTTAGTCTGTTGTGAAGGTCGTGCTCATTTGAACGTTTTTCTCCTGCAGAAAGTTTTACAGACTAACAAAGCATCATTAATAAAAACGACGGTTTCTCGATTGCCACTCTCTGCTGTTCTGCCGTTCGTTGAAGAGGTGAGCATCACCAAAACACTTTGAGAGATGAGTTGTTTCTTTAAAGGAACATTAAAGTGCACATATATTTATATTTGACCTCTTTACAGCAGCTTGTGATGCTTTTAGCTGCAGGTTTTAATCATCTTATCTCATTCATAGCTCACGAAGAGGCTCCAAGGGCATCCTACAATGTAAGTTAGAGCTTTAGTTTGCTCAAGTTCACTGCAGTTTGTTTTATTTTTATCTTCGTCCCAAAAACAAGGTCCCTGTGCCTGATATGATGCACGTTTGTTGCTTCCTGCAGGGCAATTCAAATGTTGCGGTGGCTCAAGGCTGTCCTCGTGCATCACACATCATACCTGGCATCGGTGAGTTTTCTTTGCTCGTGATTTAAAAGCAACAGCAGCTTAACAGTCCAACGCCTGAGCCTCTCCTTCATCGAAATGGTGCATGGTTTGTAATTCACTGTTAAAACTGCTCAGTCACAACTGAATCCTGGTTTATTCCACTCAGAGATGTGCCGTGAATGCATCGTGCTGCCACACAGCGTCCCCTAATCCTTCCTGTATATTAAAGTGTTGTTTCATCCGCGTAGAAGTGTGTTGCTCGAGGTGCCTTGTTTGTGTTTTCTGCTGCTGAATTGTTTTCACCTTCTGTTTAACAGCTGCCCGACCTGAATACCCAGCTGGGAGTCCTTTATCACATGATCGAGAGCCGAGTGAAAATGTTCCACAAACTGACAAAGCTGCACGGGAAACTCAATCTCCTAATGACACAGGTAGGTGGCATCATCATTACCTTCTAAGTATCTTTAAATGGCTGCATCCTGTCAGTGGTGGAGGCTTTAGATGGATGGCAGGAAGTGCTTGGATATCCTCAGTGGTGATAAAGAGTCCAGCAGCACTCTTAACGTGCATTTGAACCCTGAAATAAGTGCTAAAGCATCCTCTGTGGACTCAGAGGTTGCATTTGGAGACATCTTCTCAAAATATTCAGGATTATAGATTTTCCACTTCACACTGATCTGGCATAGCATTAAAACTTCCTGTTGTCTTGATGTTTGACCTGTTTGATGCTGCTGCTGGCATCAAATCCTAAACCGTTCCCAGTTGTGACAGCTCAGTGGTTCGGGGATTACTCCTAGAGTTTGAGAGTGTGAATGTTGAGCCTTACATTGTCTGAGACACTCGTGTTCCCGAGCTCTAGTTGTGTTGTGGACAACTGATTTTGCTCTGAAAGGTGCTTGCTCTCCTTCAGTCAAGGTTAGTTAGTAAGAAAACTAAAACTTAATTTGTGAATTAGCCAGAAAATAATTTAGTTTCAAATATGAACACAATAACTTTTCTGTTCTTTGTATTGCCACATCTGTTCAGGTGTGCTGCTAATGTCTTCAGTGCTAATTCCTTAACATGGGCCGCCTTTAATCCGATCCATTTCCAGTTGGTAGTGAATGTTAAACTTGTACGTTAAGGATTTACAGCAGCCGCCACAACCTAAGAATGACATTAAGAAGCTCTGTGCACATTTCTGCCTTACTGCTACATGGACCGACACAGAACTATACAAGTACATCTCCAAATATTAGAATATTGTGAAAAAGTTAATTTTGTCACTCTTTTCAGAAAGTGAAACTCATATATAGTGGTCCCTCGTTTATCGCTGGGGATCCGTACCCTGAAGCCCAGTGATAAGTGAAAAACCACGAAGTAGGAATAGTAATACAATATTGAGTAGTACTAGTACCAAAACAATAAAACTCAGTGTCTCAGAAAATATAAATATTACACAGGCCAGCTGTCGGTGTGGGCAGGAGCCAAGTCCTGCTGGAAAATAAAATCAGCATCTCCATAAAGCTCGTCAGCACAAGGAAGCATGAAGTCTTTGTAAAATGTCCTGGTAGATGCTGCACTGACTGTGGACTTCAGAAAACACTGTGGACCAACACCAGCAGAGGACATGGACCCAAAACCATCACTGACTGTGGAAACTTCACTCTGGACCTCAAGCAACATGGATTCTGGACCTCTCCTCTCTTCCTCCAGACTCTGGGACCTTGATTTCTCAATGACAGGAAAATTTACTTTACTCTGAAAAGAGGACAATGGACCAGTGATCAACAGTCCAGTTCTTCATCTCCTCAGCAGGTAAGACGCTTCTGTCTCTGGTTCAGGAGTGGCTGGACTTGAGGAATGAGAAGTTTGTAGCTCATGTCTAGGAGTTAATCAGCTGATCAGGGTGTGACACCAGGAGTTTCCAGTGCTGGGGGGAGTGGTGGCATAGCGGTTAGAGAAGGTGAGCCTGTGATCGGAATGTCACCGGTTCAATCCCCCGTGCTAACATCAAAATGTTGGTGGGAAAAGTGAAGCCCCCACACCTGCCTCCACCTTCGTTTGCCCCACTGTGGGCCCTTAAGCAAGGCCCTCGACCCCCACCATCTGCGACCTCACGTTCCCTAGATGGCAGCTCTCTGCTCCACACAGAGGGCTGTGGTAGCTCTGTGGTTGTCAGGAAGAATATCCAGCGTAAAAACAATTGCCGAGTCTTCGTGTGTCAGTTCGCTGTGGAGGGAGCAGCCGAAAGAAGCACCATGAGTTTCCCACATTGAACCGGTTCACAATATTCAAATTTTCTGAGAAACAAAATTTAGGCGTTTCATTATTTTCAATTCTTAATCATCAAAATTACAAGAAAGAAAAGTGTAAATGTTTCACTCTTATGTAATTAATCCGTATAAGTTTCACTTTCTGAAATTACTGACACATAATTGAACTTTTTCACAATATTCTAATGTTTTCAGATGCACCTGTACAATGTTTAATACAGCATGTTTACCTAACTTTACAGTTTCACTGTTCCCTTATTGGTGTGGAGCAATTCGAGTGGGTAAAAAGAAGATTGGTCTGTTGAACCCCACATTTAATCTAAAAATCTTTTATCCTACCACTAGGTGGCGACAAATGACAGCAGCAACAGGCTCACTGATGTTGACCACACAGCTAAACTGGTGTATGAAGAGGGTAAGTGTTGGTTCTTGTTGTTGAGTCCCTCCAATCTCAGCCCTAACAGTAGCCTGTTTCCCAGCAGTTCTTTTCTTTAACACTTTCCTTCCTGCTGTTCTCTGCACATTTAGTGCTTGTGTGCAGCATCACAACCCGGGTCGGTGAGGGGGTGAAGCGGGCAGCTGACAGGATTTAAAATGATAATCATATTTCGGTCTCACGGTCTGCTGCCTTGCATCAGGTTTTAAGACAAGACCAGAGTTTTCTCATTCTGACTCGTGGTCATTTTCTCATTGACCTCAAGTCAGTTTGTCTTTAAGCTTCTACCGTAGTCGCATGTTTGTTTGTTTTTTAAGTATTTTGAAGACCGTCTCACCCATCGTGCAGTCGCTCTTGGCGATGCACCACACGCAAACACGGCTCCTGTTGCCTGGCAACCTGACCGGCAGCGTTCTGATCCTCCCCTCCGAGCGTCGCAACAAAGCTCTGTTCTGTTCACTCCCATTTCTCATTACCGTACTGTATGAAATGCTTTATTGAACCACAAGGAAAATTGGGCTTTCATGAAATAATTAACCTACGCCTTGAGTTTGAATACCCTCGCCAGCGGGCCAGGATGTGAGGCAGCGTCGAACAAGAAGAGTTGATGAAAGAAGCTGACGAACAGGAAAAGGAAATGCGTTTTTATTTATTTATTTTTTTGTGCGACTCTTCTGTGAATGTTGAGGTTTGGGGTTTACTGGAAGTTCAGCAGAGGAATCTGACAGGAAGCTTCAAGCTTGTCTGACTAGTTGGCAAATCACAATTTGACAGTTTGCACAGTGAAAAGTTATAGAGGAGTTACTGAGTATAGTCGCATTCTGCTCCGAACTGAGCGGAGTTATTTTTATGAATAAAATTAGGCACGTGGTGGAAACAGACGTCACAATGTTTGTAATTAAAGCTCGAAGCGGCTCAAAAATCTGCTAACAGACCCTAAAAATTTCAGGTTTTTCAGTTCAGCGCACGAGTCTCAGAGCATGAACATTTTTACGGGAAGACTGGGCAAAATCCATCAAACGTCGACTGAAAGGGTTTTCGAACAGCCATTTGTCAAAGTGGGTGTTTCTTAGTTCTGAGCATACCGAGTGCTCAGCGGTTGCTTGAAGACCCTTTTTCCTTTTAAACTACAAAAAAGGCATGAAGCCATTTTGACCAAATGTTGTTTTTTTTGTTGTCTTTCTAACTACATGCTTTAGTTTAGAACATGAGGACACATTTTACACACCATGAAGTGTGCAGGTGCATAAAACCTGCCACTTTCTCTGAAAGTCAAAGCTCCAAGTTTAAAAACCTTTTCATCCTTTTTGGACCTAGTTTTTATCATAAAACTTATAATTCATATCATAGCTTTTTTTATTTGATTTAACTTTCTAATTGTTGGTATAGTCACATTTTCATAGCCTTCTATCTATTTCCAAACTAAATTGATTTCAGAATCTGCATCAAATAAGTTGATTCAGTCCGAAAATCAGACATGGGCACTGCGGAGTGTGATGTAACTTTTCAAAATAAAACGCTCTGCAAGCTCCTGCTAGTTAATCTAAATCTGGTCGACTGGGTTGCCAGGTTTTCTATCTCAGTCTTTAGAAATCAGGGCAGCCAACAGCCCATATAAAACGACAATTTTTTTATTTTTTAGTCAATATTTATCATTTCAACTTTTTAGCAATCCTTAAAACAAGTTGCACACTTAAAATAATCATAAGAGCATTCTCACCTCAACCAAATTATGTAAGCTGCTGTAGCAACGACTGCCATCTTCATCTTCCTATTTGATAATGAAGTATATACAGGCATGGCTGATTAATGTCTAATATCGGCCATTTATAACTGGTTGACCTGTTAATCGATATACCTTTACTATGACTGAATAAGTTTGTGTTGCACCCAGATTGCATTCTTAATTGTTTTGCCAACTTGTATTTAGTTTGTGTAATGCACAAAAGTTGGAACACTATTGATTAACAACTGTGAAGATGCAGCATGCTTGTACAGTTGTGCAGTAATGGTAATGGGCTCAGTTTGACCCGTTTGGTCTGTTATTTTGTGCTGCAGTGGCTTCACGTCTGTGTTTATCTCCTCTCCCTGCATCATGTTGTAACCTTTCAACCACCAGCCTCCAATAAGACTAGTGAAAGTTTAGCATGTCTTTCTTAGAGCCTGTATTATTATAATTACTTTTGTTATTCCTTTTCCTCTTTTACATTTTAATAATGTTTGTCAGGACTTTAAACACAAATGTGTTTAGTAAACTTTCTCTCAAATTTCACGGTCAGTAGTGTGCTGGCAGCAGAAATGAGACGTGCTCATCAAACCCCCCGCACACTCAGTGTTCATAACCAAATGGCTCTGCTGTATTGAAATGCAAATATCGGTGTGCATTTGTATAAAATGTAAACACAAGTAGAGCTTTCCCCCCGTTTTCTTCCATTGAGAGAGGGCTTGTTTTGAACAAACGAAATGAAAACCATTTAGCCGCAGAGGCGTTCATTTTTCTTTGTTTGCCCTTTGCAGAATCATCTGACGAAGATGAGGCCTCTGGTGATGAAGCTCTTCCTGATGAAGAATCTGATGTAAGTTGGACCGAAACCATCAAAAAAGGAGTTGAAAACCTAGTATGGCTGTTGCATTTCTGGGGTGTTTTTACTGCGTCTTTTTCAGCACTGGGAAGAGGACGAGGCGATGGATGAAGACGAGGAGGATAAAGACGATGAAGATTCCGACAGCAGAACGGAACCCAAAGCAAACGGAGATGAAGACATGGAACATGAAAACGAGAGCGAAGAAGAATAAGATCAAAACAACGTCAATTATACATATAATGGACCTGAGAGAGTTATATATACTTTCATTTTATTTTCAGACTTTTGATTTTATCAGCTTTTACAAAATCAAGGGACACATTTAAAGCAAAGCCAGAAGGGGTCCCCCGCCCTCTTCAAGATGTCAAACGTGGTCTTATCTGAGCAACATCCTGCAAAAAAAAAAAAATCATTGCAACTTTTCAGTCTTCTGTGCCATCCCAGCTCCACGCCCCTACACGTCTGCCTAAAAACACGAAAACTGCTGTGTGTTCCGTTCAGCCACACTTTTTCTGCATTCCAAATTGAAATAACTTCCAGATTAATGTTACCGACTGATTGGTTTATTCTAATTTAACAACGTGGGCCGTCTGGATGCAGGCTCAGTACTGGAGCGGTGCTGGGATGGAGACTTGAACCCCGGGTGTTTGTTTTCCAGAAGACCAGATGTCTGCCCACTTCGTGTAAATCTGTATGTACAGTGAAGCGTTTGTATGAGCTCTTCCCTCTACAGAAAGCTTTGGGATTAAAAGAACTCCTGTAAAGTCACCTGGATGATGTTTTACTGTTTTTTAAATTTTCATTACATTTGACTTTTTATTTTAAATTCTTTTTGTGTATTTAGTTTTTGTCATAGGTTTGCTGCCTTAAAGAGCCTCTTGTCACAGGGGCCCCTGAATGAAAGACTGTGAACTTAGCTGAGTTAAAGGTTTCGAAGCTGTCCGCAGTGTTTTGGGTCCTAGACTCGTTTTGGAGGTGATTCAGGGCAGCTGGAAAAACAGAAGCTAGAGTTCAAGAATTGATGCTTCAGGAGGAGCTGGTGTGGGAAAAAAGTTTCCAACGTGGTGTCTATAATTTAATATTCCTGTTCTATAAACTTTTGAGGAAAATAATCTGTCAAAGATTTATTTTACCAGTGAGAACCTTTTTCAATACTCCACAGTACTTCACTGAAACCAGTGATATAGGGTTTATAATGGAACCCCATAAATGGTCCATAATCGCAAGTTGCCTGGTGTTTATTCATTTTGCAGCGCCCTTTCTCTGATGCATGTACATTGGGGGGGGGGGGGGGGGGGGGGGGGGGGGGGGGGGGGGTTGAGATGTGAACGGTCGGGATTGAATTGTATGAAAAATGTTTCACTGCTTGAGCATTGAATAATACATGTAGTATAAAAAAATCAATTTTTAATCTGAGATTTTGGGTTCAAATTCTTTTAACTGAAATGCTGGTGCAGTGTGTGTGTGTGTGTGGGGGGGGGGGGTAAATGTTGCTTTGTAGAGCCACTTTATAGTAAAGTGATCTGATCTGTGACCATTTCAGTGTCACTTTTTTAGAACATTGCAGACATTTCAATCAGGTTGGGGTCTAGATTTGGCCTTGTGCCCGCAAAATCATCAGCGATCCACCACGCCGACACTTGCTGTGACTTTTCAACAGGCTACTTAAGGGCTTGATGAAAACTAAGAAAGGTTTCCTCCAACCAAAACAACTTAGCAACCCAATTACATTTTAGGTGATTTACAGTAATTCAGCTTATTTACAAAGTGCCAAGTCATAAGTTGTTTCAGGGCACTGTACAGAAACATTTACATACTTGATAAAAAGCCCGTTAATGAGGTATCTATAAGGAAGCTTATAGGTACTTTATATTGGAGGAACAACATGTTAAGGTTAGACCATTACACATATAAACGGTGTGGAGCAAGTAAAGAGCAGCGTGAGAAAATGTGGTCCATTTGTCCTCCAGCAGTCTGAGCCTGTAGTAGCATGACCAATGTGTCAGCTTCATGGACAAACTGGAAGTTGGTTCCACAAGAGAGGAGTCTGACCTGCCTCCCAATTGTAATGTTGGAAACTAGAAACTGCAAGTAAACCTGCAGTCTGAGAGTGAAGTGTGCAACATCTATAATATAAGCTGGAGCTAGGTTGTTCAGTTTAAATGTCAGAAGCAAATTAATGCCATTAAGAGGAATTAAAGGCTGCAAAATGTGTTACTACCCACTTGTTACCCATATTCTAGCCCAGCTGGGACTCCATTAAGACCCAGGTAAATTTTCATGAAAGCACACACGGGCCTTATGGGCCTCGTGTACTGTAAGTTAACCATCTGAGTCCCACAGGGCCTGTTCAAATCTATCTGGGCTAACCCATGTGGGACCACTATGGAAATCACAGACAAAACCTTTAGGGGCCCATATTTTTTGCCCATATGTGGCCCACCTATGCCGACTGGGTAAGATGCTTAGGTTCCACAACCTTGGTCTTCTTTGAGTTTAAAAGCAGAAAATTAAGGATCATCTTTAAGACGTGCTTGTAGTCTTAGTAACTGGGTTTACTGGGTTTCATGGACAAATATAACTATCATCAGCATAACAATGAAAATGTATCCCATGCAGTTAAATAACATTATCTAATGGAAGCATATGGTAAAGAGTATTTGTCCAATCACTGAACCCTGAGGAACTCCATATTTGGTGTATGAAGAATATTCATTATTTACATTTCTGAATCTATCAAATAAATATGATTTAAACCATTTTAGAGCCATTCATGTAATCCCAACATCCAAGCCTCTGTATCAAAAGCAGCACTGAGTTCTAACAGGACCAGTATATCAAGTCCATTGAAGCCATGAGTATAGTGACTTTCACCAGTTCTGTTTCTGTGCCAAACCCTGTCTGAAACTCCTCAAACACATTTCTGTTCAGATGTTCACACAACTTATTTGTAACTATTTTCTCAATAATTTTAGATAACTTAGATTAAGTGATTTAAGTATTTTCTCTCTTAAATGTAAAGTATTGAAACTTGGTTTTCAAGTTTTATTCAGGTAAGTTTTCAGCTTGTTTGAATTGGTTTGTGACTACGGAACTCCTTGTTACTCTATATTTGTTTGAAATTAAACATTTTGCATTATTAGGCAGTGGAAAAAAAATAGTTGCAGTTTCTGAAAACGGTTCATTTTCAGAGAAGAAAATGTGCAGCAGAATAAAATTTGGTTAAATTAACTCCATTCTGGTATTTGAGTGTGCCACAACTTTAAATCGATCTCATAAACCCATATTTGATTCATTTTTATTCAAAGTTAAACATATTAGATGTTTAACATTTTTTGGTGAAAAAAAAAAGGGTTATTTTTAGGTTGTTTTTTTTACAGCAATGCATCTCAAAATTGTTGAGACAGCATGTTTACCACTGTCAAAATCACCTCTTTTAAAAACAGTTAACTAAGAACTGAGACTGGTTGGAGTTTTTTGGAAGGGATGTTGTCCCCTTCTTCTTTGATATAGGTCTCCAGCTGTTTAATGGTCCTGGGTTTTCTTTTATGATTTTTATTTTTTTAATTTATTTTACTTCTTGTTTCGTGATGGGTCAAATTTTTCCTCTTGGTGACAGGTCCTGCAGGCAGGTAAGTTCCGCACCCAGACTCCTGTCATGCTGTAATGTATGCAGTATACAGTTTATTATTGTCTTGCTGAAATCTGTATGGGCACCAATGCACCCCCATATAAATAGTGAGGCAAGCTTTTGAACGGTGCACTAATAACATGCAAAAGTGACCAAAGAACAGATTTTCCTTTGGCTCTGTCCTTTGTGCTTATGCAGAAGTGTCCATAACAGAAGCAGAATTGTTTTTTTATGCTGTCACGCGAGGGCCTGAAGAGCACAGCTAGCCTGTATTGACTTCGGCCATTTTTCTATTTTTTTTTTTTTTTTTTTTTTTTTTTTTTTTTGCTCTTGTTTTTGAACTCTTTTAAGTATACTATGATCATAGATGATATCCAGTCTTCCAAATTTCCCTTGAAGAACATCCTACTAAATATAATACAGTTTATATGCTAGGATCCTAGTATTTTTGCTGACTGGTGAACTATGCCCTTGTTTACTTCTGACAGATTTAGCATCTCTAAAATGCTCCTTTTAGACTCGGTCCTCTCATCGACCTAATACTAATTACTCTATTTGCAAAATGCCCCTCCAGGTGTTTCTCAGTCATACCATGCTCCTATCAAGTAGAAAATGACCCCCCACCTCCACCCCCATTTCAAATCTGAGATTGCAGCCCATTGCATTTTGCAAAATGTTCCAACATTTTAAAATGTGGTTGCAAGTTTTAGAAGATAATTTACAACATAGACATGTAGGTTAATTTGTGGCAGTGCAATTTTAAAATTGCTTGTGTGTGTAGGGAGGGGGAGGGGCTTTTGAGTGAATTTATGGTGTTTAAAGTTGGGTGTGTGGAAGGGATGGAGTGGGGGCTTCTTCAGTGTTGCAGCATCACTTTATGATTTAGAACAACAAGACAGGTGGGACGTGTGCAGCGTCTCTCAAAGTGCCTTTCTCGTCTTGTCTGTTTTGAACACTGAAGGAGGACAATCCATCATATTCTCTCCAGGTGTTTGTTTTTACTTCTTCTCTGCAGGAGGCCAGACTGCATACCAAACATACTAAGTCGCAGACAAATCCTTTAGGAAAGTGCAGTCCTGTCTCGGATTTGATGAAGCTAAAATCATCAATCTACTTCGAAAGAAACGTAAAGTTGACTTGATGCTATATTGAATTTTGGGTAATTGCATTTGTCAAATCATAGAAACCGGCATTATTAACCACTCCATCAAACCTTTCAATACTACAGCAGTTGACAAGTATATGAAATTAGGTTTCAAAATCATGTCTACTGCCTATTGATTTAATTCAATCCAACTTTAATGAAATGCCCTAACAAGGCAAACAAGTTGGAATTAAATTTACCTGAGCTAAACTGTAGACATCAGATATTTCAGTCAGTGACTTCCAGTTTTTAATATGTTAAATTTTGCAATGTAAAATTACATATTTTCTGTGTACTGCTATCACATCAATGAACCGTTTATGAGAGAGGGAGATGAGATTTAGCAGCACTAGCTGATAAAAGTTAATCAAACTTTTAGATGAAAGAGAAAATGAGCCTAAACTTTCCATCTAAACTGTTTTGAACTGAAACCATCACATCAATTCTTTTTATAGACTTTAAGTCTTTAAAAAAAAGCTACAAGTTGATGGTCAAACCTATTTTTTTTTTTTCTAATAGCAATGTTAATATAAAAAGTTATGTCTGAGTTTTAAAAGTGCTAAAAAGCTGTGCTAACCTGTTGCATGTTCTCCTCAGCTGGTACAATGATTCCACCCACAGCAGACCTATTCAACTGGAAACCAGTGGGCCACTTCTGGCCTGTGGGTAACTTAAGTCTAGCCTGCCGATGAGTTCATAAATGATAAATTAATTAATTAAACAATTTGTTTTAATGAGAGAGGCAATCCTGCTATGTGCCCATCTCAATTGTTAACATATTCACAAGCATACAGAAGAAAACTTAAAGAAAATATAGACTCTATACTGAAAGCATTGACTTTAACAACACAACACAATGCCAGGCTTCACCCTGAGACGTTGCCTTCAGCAAGAATAATTGCTTTGGGCTTTCCCCCTGTATATACCGGGATCGACCTCTGACTCGTAGTGTCAGTTTACAGCCAATAACGTCAACATAAATGCCAAAGCAAA